TAGCCGCTGGGTCCCTCATACCCCTGAGCCTACACCTACGTGCCTATGCCCTAGACCTTCAAAGCCCTATATGACTATATGGGGGTTTCCCAAAATTAGGGGTACCCTTTTGGAGGTCCCCATAATAAGGACTATAGTATATTGGGGTCTATATTGGGGTCCCCTTGTTTTGGGAAACTACCACATGCCTAAGTCTTAAGATCGAAGGCCTTGGGATAAGGATATCATGCTTCAGCTTTTGTAGAAGTTAGAGACATACTCTCTTGCTTGGCACGCATCCCAGGCTTGTCTAAGAGTTGCTTTATAGACTGTATAGTCAGACTGGACATCCTCAACAAAGGGGCACAACTCAAGAACAATCTCAAAACCAAGCCCGTAAACCCTAAACCCTAAGCCCTAAATCCTACGCCCAGGCTGGTCCCTCGCACTTTGCAAACCCCTAGCCCCTCCAGGCATCACTGCACCCCAAAAAGGTTCCTACAAAGATCAAAGCGGATCGATACCTGAAGTTCAAGTCGAAACTGCCACTTGGAGGTCCATTATGTTCGAATCTGAATGCCTATGCTTATCATTCATAGGTAGCACAGAATGAGGAACTTGCACGTGGGTTACAGCTAGATTTATGCTCAGTTGCTAAATGCCATGGACCTCCAAGAAATAGCCCCAAAAATAAAGGGCCTGCACGTGGTTCAAAGAAAAAACCCTGGATAACCTCCCTACTTCAAAGGTTCCGTAAATTAGGGCTTCCTCTTTCATGGTCCCTGCAATAAGGATTCTTCCATTGGATGTTCTAGTGAAAGCCCCGCATCCCAAACACCAAAAGGGCAAGGGCTCCGACTTGGAGATATACAGGAAGTAAATCGGCAGCTGAGCTCCCATGTGGACAGGGCACCTTTTGCATTTCGCGGCGTCAAAGGGCTTAGAGTTCAGGGTGGGGGGCATGGGACCTAGAGCTGCTCAGGTTCCAGCAGGAACTCCTGGTATGATATCTCTATCGGCAAGTATGAAAGCAAAGGCAAGTGAAGCCCCAAACCCTAACCCTTGGTTACAAGCCCAGGTGCAGATCGTGAGAGGACACATCTTGGATCTGCGTCCGGTGCCTGACTCAATGGTCAAGGTTCCACTGGAGGGTTCTCTAAAAAGGAGAGGATTGAGGAAGTCTCTAAGGTGACTGAGGGAGAGTTTTGAGAAGCGCGTGTCAGATCTGCCCAGATTCGGCTGGACCATCTTAATTACTACCCTGCAGTGAGTCGGCCAAGGGATGTGAGAAAGCAATCCCATTTCCTGTAGATCGCTTTTACGATAACTTACGTCAAGCTTGCCGCACAGCTTGCCTCAGCACCGCATGTCGGCAAACAGATGCCTGCGGCCAGACAAGGCTCTGTAGGGACAAACAGGCAGCTCACACTAGCTCCTTTGGCATTCCTTCAAACTGCAAGACCTTATCCTCGCCAAATGTGCCTGGGAACCGCAAGGCCGCAAGGATAATTGCATTTTGACTCGCCACGATCTGGACTCACAGTTCTTCAGACTATTCTCTTTATGATATTGCGGGATACACGCAAACTCATCGCTTACTCTATCAGCCATTCGACCACAGTTGACAACAGAATATGCACTTGAGGTTGAACGTGCCTTGCTTACGGCTCAGGATTTGGAGCCATTCTTGTCTATGTCGTAAAGTCATGGGATTCGGATTCAACAGGACTTTGGCTCGAAAAGGCGCAAGGATGACTCAAACAAACCCACATAGCGAATTCTGGAGCGCGACGCTGCCATGACTGCCAGAATAAGACGAGGCAAGTGACAATTACCATTAAGACGAAGCGGAACTACATTTGCCGCTGTTGATTTAGCCTTACCATGAAATTGCCGAGTTCCGCACTAGTAGCGACTGCACATCGATGATCTCTGCCGACAGGTGATCCTAACTTCAACGCGGAATTCATGGAAGGCGTTGTTTAAACTCAGGATCAGAATGTTGGGGTTGCTGTAGAAAAAGGGGCATACAACCAGGTCCTCCTGGAGTCGCATGCAACATGCTTGTTTGCACTGAGCGAGAGAAGGCCCCCCCGCTCTTGCCTCGTATGGAGCTTTGGGAGTTCATAGGACGCCGTGGCTTGCGTTTGAAGATTGCGCAGGACTATGGGAAAGCTCCTTATGGATAGACTGTCCAACCCCTCTGTGAGGGAGACTGACATGCCATTATGTTGACGGCTAGGGGATTGGGGCTGTGATGCGGATTGAGGGTGGGTGAATCAACCTCCCACACTAACATGGATTCCCATGCAGTCTGCTTGTAAAAGGGCGGTAGTCTTCATAAGACCCTGATTGGAGTACACTGGGGGGCCCAAACCCTTGCCTGAGATACTCCTAGCCCAACCTAAGCTGTAAACCCCTAAAGTCACAGTGTTACATTGGCGGAGGGTCAGGGTGCTGCTCAAGGGGAGAGGGCTGGCCTGAGTGGGAGGCACGATCACCATGTGGGGCATTCTAAAAAAACAAGGGATTGATCTTGAAGTATCTTACACCATCTCCTACGGCGGCCAGCAACACAAAATTGCCCAGCAGCATCAGTAGTCGTGATATGGATTCGCGTGCATTGTACTAGTAAAAGACAAGGAGTGTCACGGAGTAATATTGGTCAGTTTGGAATCTTCTACATGGGTCAAGAGATTGAGTAGGACAAACACTTGGAGAGAGCTGGCATCTGCAGCTGACATGTGCCAAGATTGCTTCTAGAGGCTCATGTCAGCAGCTACTCTCTGAAATTGTTCAAGGGAAATCCCAAGGTCCTAGACCTAAGTCCTAGATCTTGAGGCCTGACACCTAAGGCCTGAACTTCTACATCCTACATCCGCAATCCAAAGCCTGACTGTTACCTTTGACAGGCAGCAGTCCTAACCCTTGAGCTGTCTAAGGCAACCCAAAATCAAGGGTGTTTCTAAAAAAGGCAAGGCCCCTGTATGCCCCCTTACAATATTGTAGTCCTTATTACAGCCAGCAGCCTGAAGCCCCCGTAGATCTATCTGCCTGGAACTATTTGTTGCGTTGGGTTTTATAGTGACAAAACAAGAGCAGATTCAGGAAATCTCTAGATGCAATGACTGCTGACTTGGGCTGTCCTTGTCATGAAGAGACCAAATGCGGGCCTCGGCGAGAAGGGAAAGCTGTCATAGGTTGAAGCTAGGGTTCACGGTCTAGGGGGGAAGCAAATAACATGGGAATTCTCCGCAGCCTAAGTCCATGTAAAAGCTTTGGGATTGAATGCCGCCTACCCACAATGCTTGCTTCCGAGTCTCAGTGATGTAAACTACGTACAGCCACGTGTTTAGCTGCTTAAGCTCAATTATGTTTATCATGCCTTCTATTCTCCTTTCACTTGGCTGTCGTATGTCATATGTCATGTGCTGAAGGGTCCTTTGGATATCAATGTTTACTCGAGTTTCCCAAGGTAGGGATACCCCTTACATACCGCGCCCTCATCGTAGGAACCCAATCAGTGGACCTCCAACTTTAAACCCCCAGATGCGCATAGCCAAGAGGAGTATCCAACTGCCGGTCAAAGCTCCATGGCAGATCATGGCTGACATTCCTCCCACCCAAACGGTTTAAGGTTCAGGGTTGCCGGTTTACGTAATCCCGACGTATGGGCCTATCTGAGCCGCAGCTGTTCAGGCTGGCCTCCCCTACATGCAGCATGGGCCCGCCGGCCGGTCACCCTTCCACAATTCTGCGACCTGCCACGCATCCCCAGGATCAGACCCTTATTCCTCAGCTCCACACACAGTGGAGGGGCTCCTAGAACCACGGAACTGGGCTATCACCCGCCGAGTCACAATCCCAGGGTGGGGCAACTGCCGAAGAGGGACATTGGGCCCACCAGCAGCAGGTGACACGCCCAGTGAGCGCATTAGCCCATCGCCTCACTGTCATCCGGACAAAGGGTTCCGCGGGTTGGCCTCAAACGTACCCAGGCAGCTTAAGCTGCCACCCTCATGCTGCGCCCCACACCCGGCCAGCGGTGCAAGAGGCTGCTGAGCCTTGCAGACCCCCGGGTAGGGCAAGACACATGCTGCGAATGGCAGTGACCAATCCTGTGGCTTACGTGTGCAGAAAGTACATGATGCTTTGGTACTTGGACCCTTCACGGAAGGCCTAAAGCTTCAGAGCATGAGCAATCACTTTGATCATACACTGCCACACACACCTCTTTGTAGTTATGATTGCCAAAAAACAGCCGCACGAGACAGGCCATTGATGCATACAATGATGTGACGACATTGGTGTTGCGGTCATCAAGCATTGAAAATTCCAACATGTCAAGCAAGACGAGTTTACAATTGCAACATACTTAGCCCTCTCCAGTCTGCCTCCGTGCCTCAAACCTGGTTGCTACCAAATGCAATCCGCGCACACTTATCAAAACGTCCTTGGAATTAAAGTGTGGAAATCCTGACTGACACCCTTCATGCATAAACCGCTGAAACCCGTTCTCCGCCGGACAAACCTCCCCACAGCTGGGATCCTCAGTTTACATCTACTGTATGTAGATTGTTGAAAGACCTGCACGTTTGGACCAAGGCGGGAACTTGTCTGCTGGCGTGACACTTGCTCTTGATCATGACATGCACTGCTTTGTCATCGCCGAAAGTCCGGATGCTATTTAATCTGGGCTTTTGATCCTTGCTGGGAGACGCGCTCAACAACCCGAAACCCCATAATCCGGAATCGAGTCTGCAAGACCAAGCTTTCGGTCCTATAGGGACTACTATAGGGTTTAGGAATGGAAAAGAAAATGGATACTACTATAATGGGTTTTATAGGGACTACTATACAGGGGACGACCACCAGCTCAACTTTATGCATGCCCATGAATGGCTGCCCGTAATTCCGAAGCAAGCTTGGAACCTCGAACCCAATCCAAAATAATGTACTGAAATATACCTGTAACATACTACATTATGATGAATATACATTGACTTTCAAGATAATGTATTATACTAGAATTCAGGATAACACAATGTAATATGCTGAACACTGAAACGGAAAACTCGCAACCCGGAATCAGCAGGCAAAGGCACAATCCTCTGCTTGCCACAATGGTCTGAAACCCGCGTTTTAACAAATGTGGTCCCTTTGCCACAGACCTTAATCTGGAGATCACCTTGCAAATATTCTGTTCCAAGGGTTTAGGGGTTTAGGGGTTTGGGTTTAGGGGTTTGAGCAATGGATAGGGTCCAGAGCTGGGGACACCAGGCTCCGGCAATATCTGGCTGGGAGAGCTATTGAAGGCATGCCGGCTTTGTAGCTCAGCTCTTCGAGGAGGAAGATAATACTCAAGGAGGTTCTCATGTTTCAAGATCCTGCTTCCAAAGCTGAAATTGCTTGAGCCCTACCTCCTTCCAGCAAACTGCTTTAGATTCCCACATTCGTGTTCTTCAGAACACGCTCCATGGCATCCACCTGCTTCAAGCCTTGGAAAAAGATGAGGTAGAGGGGTTATGGGTTGAGGGCTTAGGATCAAGGCTCTCAGAATTCAGGCCGAAGGATTCTAGGGCTTGGGCTTACAAGGTTCGAGGGTTTGGGGTTTGGAATTTAGGGGTGGTGCCTCTTCTACTACCTCTAAAGCATCACGCTCAAAGAGTGAAGAATGACATCTGCTGCCCTTATTGTGTGCTGTTGAGGCCCTTCTTCTCCTGTCGGCACATGGATACTGAAGTTGTCGGGCACTCATCGACCCCAACATCCAACGCCCACCTCTGCTGCAATGCCCCGCACCTCTCCCAGCTCTTTTCGTAGCCTACAGATAACAACAAGTCGCACAGTAAATTCCAGAAACATTGTCACATGTGAAAATTGCAAACAATGGAAATCTCTGAAGTAATGCTAAACTGCAGTTGATACCCATTCTACCTTGAGTTTTAAACAATTGAAAGTGCTGCCCAAACTACAACTTAAAATTCCCCGTCCCCTCTTCCAGCAGACCACGGGCTCGTCTGCAAAAGTTGTCGCCAAACCCACTGACCAAGCCTTAAGTGAGGCCTCCACCCCTGCCTTCTCTGGCCTCAAGAAGGCTAACCTTATAGGGGTCAACGGCTACAAAAGGCTATGTGCTCAACTAAGAAGATCTTCGAACAGCAATGGGTTGAAATTCTACTTGCGGGTCTTGCTTGGGAAGGTGAGCTTACCCCTTCAAACCTGTACTGGGCCATCTGCGGTACTGCTCGCGCCTGGGAGAATGCGGCTCGACAGGCTAAGGTTGGGTCAGCAGCGTCTACTGAACACGGTTGGCCATCATAGACTACTGTTGCCCAGACTGCAGCAAGTCAGGACAAATTGGAACCTTCAACTTATCTCATCTAACAGGCTGTCTCTGTCTGGTTCATATGTTTTTCCCTCCTGGCAGGCTCTGTCTTCAGCATGTACCAAGCCTCAGGACCTAATTCCGGAATCCTGACACGAACGCCGCATATGCCAGCTCCTTTTCCTGTTGGTGGGTAATTATGAAGGAATGGATCGCTATAGTGAACCCTACTTATTCCGGAATGATCCCTGTAACTACATACCTGCTTTCCTGCTAACCACGCAAGACCCTGAACCCTTCAGTAGCTGAAATTCTCTGTTCCATTCTGGCTTCTAACCCGCTCCTTCATTTCCTACTGACCAGCGCAAGTAATGGGGAAAGCCGAGAGTTTTGGCTTTGCATCCTCGAGCTTTGGTTTGGCGCTTAACATTGGTGCCTAAACCATATCAAAGTTAGGACTCGAGGATACATGTTGGTAATTTTCAGGCTTGCAGGGTCTCAGTCTTGTTTGGAACCTTGCAATTGTCCTTGTGAATTAGCACAGCCAGACTTTAGTTCCATGTTTTACTGTAGAGGGAAGGAAGAATTAGACTGGGTCTCGGGGCGTATTGTACTACAGG